GCTCCTAGTAGCGAGGCCAGGAGCCCCTAGTAGCGTCCCTTGCTCCTGATTCTCATCGACCCTTTCCCCTGGTGTTCCACTCCTTTGGCTCAGGTTCTGCCGCTCCTGGACCTGCTGTCGCTGCTGTCGGGTGGTCTCAGATTCAGAGGGATCGATTGGGGTGGCGAATGACCGTTTCGAAGCTCTGAAAAGAAAAAGACGTTGGGAGCAAGTCCAACTGATATTTCGGGCTGGGCTTGTGAGGTGAATCCACGACTATGAGTCCATGTTTTTCAGCAACGCATTGTTCGGTTTTGACCACAACTCAGTGAAGGCCGGCTGTGGGTCATGTCACTTGGATCCTCCACTGTGTAGAAATCAAGAGACTGGCACACCACAAGGTAGATGCACCTTCCAAGCCTTGCAACCCATTTGGAGTGAAAAAGTTCCTAGTAGCGTCCTTGCTCCTAGTAGCGATGCCAAGAGCCCCTAGTAGCTTCTTGTTACTAGTAGCAAGTATGCTTCATAGACTTAGGATATCCCTTCCCCAAAATATCCTACTTTGCAGACTCCAAAACCCGCTCTGGTTTGGTGGTTCGCTTCGGCAAATGCACCCATTGGGAGTGAAAAATGGATGACTGTTTGTATAGCCAGCTAAAGTTCGGGTTATCCTGGTCAGACCCACATCGTTCCATCTACGACCATCGGTGGAAAGCGTTTGGTCCACTACGACCTCAAAGCGAACAAAAATTCCGTTTTCGCTTGGAGCACAGGCCGAACCATTGTCACGCTGTTGTGTTGGTGTGATTTCAAAAGATCTATCGGAAAGCACACGCAGGCAGCGACTGGGATTCGAACCTTCCAGATTGTGACAGACTCGCTAACACTTAGGAAGGAAGGAACGTGAATTAGGAAGAGAGTGCAAGTGGCACCCTGGAGCAAAGTGGAAGCTGACCTGGTTCGACAGCACTTCGCACATTTTGCACGTGTGTGTTTTGAAGCTGACTCAGCAACTGGATGCAAAGCTCTTTGGCGATCCTGCAGTCCCCCGCGGCTGTGAAGCTGCCGGGCTACCAACTGCTCCATGTGTAATTGCTCCATTTGATTTGCGGCTTGGGTCACTTGATCAAGCAATGACGTTCTAATCATTTGCTTGATGTAAATTCAGGTCAGGTGCAGACACATCAATCAATTGTGAAGGGCGCACATTGCAGGCCTTTCTAAAGTATCAGTCGGATGGTTTTGAAGAAAAAGATGTCGCTGCAGAAGCTAGGTACTGGCTAGTAGCCAGTATGACCCTCCGGGAAGACACCGCTCTTTTGCTTTTTCAACGTCAGACGCCACATGGGACCAGCAAGGAGCAGGTGATGCATCGGCACTATGTGAAAGACATTCAAAAGAACCCAGGAAACACTGACACCAATGGAGGCCGTGGCTATTAGGTTGGAGAAGGTGTTCACTTGAAATAATCATGGAGGTGGAAAACCACTTTTTTTTGTATAAAGGACAATGGTCATCCAAGTGGCCTCTAGCAGCCTCAGCTCCTTACTGAAGGCTTTCCATTGTGGGTCCCGCAGCTCTCTTTTTTTTGGGGGAGCGGAGACCTGCTGCGAATCATACCGTGTCCTTGAGGCTTCTCCTGCCGAGAGCCCCCCAGCTGCTGATGATGATGATGAGGCACAGCTGCAATGGTCACCGCAAAAACAATTGCCAGTTGGTAAGGAAGCCTTCTCAAGATCTTATTACAGCCATTGAACCGCTGGTTGAGTGTTCCTGTGTTCTATTGTCACGGTCCACATATCCTGGCATTGAGACGGTTTCTGAATCTGTCTCATAAACACTGGAGACTGCTCTCCGCCACATAGATCATGTTTCACACCACCATGTGGTTATTGTGGTCTTCCCTGGTCTTGTTACTAATAGTAAGAATGCTACTAGTAGCAAGGCCAGGAGCCCCTAGTAGCGTCTTCCCTATCGTGCCACATCCGAAGCAAATTTCTGCGTGGCGTGGCGTGTTTTTGTTATGCCACCATCACCCTATACATGTTTGAAGTCCATTTCTCTATCTATTGGGGCACCAGGAGATGCGAATCATGGTGGTCTATGAACAAGTGTTCCTGCCCCCGAACAGGCCACAGCCAGGGTCAAAACTCACCACAAGGATTTGAGGAAGGGACCGTTGTCCTCCAAAGAACACAGAGCAATTCCATGATCCTTGCAACTGACTTGGAGGTTTTTCGTGAAGTTGAAGTTCATCCATTCCTTCACCCAGAGTTCAGTTTGTTCGGAGACATGGAAAAGTGGATGTTCACGCATAGGTTCGAACACAGGAACTGGAGGCCATCGCTCGAGTTCCGACGCCAGGACTTCCACGCAGCCTTCATCGCCGAGATGCGAAAGCTGCTCGGGCGGGTCTTTTCGCTACTAGGAACAAGTGCCACGCTACTAGTAACAGGTGCCTTACTAGTAGGAACAAGAAGCTATTAGAAGCTATATATAATATATATATATATATAAAGAAACATTGCCTTTTCTTTTCTCTTCTAGCGTCCGAACGCTCCTAGTAGTAAGGCCACAAGCCCCCAGCTTCTTGTTACTAGTAGCCTTGATGGACATGTTTTGTCTTGCAAAAAAAACGCAAGAAATATCACCCTACCATGTTGGAAGAGCCCTTAGTTGCTAGGGACTGAGAATCATTTGTGTCTGGGGAATATGGCCAACACACATAGGTCCAATGAATCATGAATGCCAATGGGCTTACATGCAATTGATCTAAGTCGCAAACGCATGACATTATGAAGGTCTAGGGATGTGCATGGTGTGAACATGTGGTGTGCACATCCAACTATTCAACTCTTCTATTCATGATTCCGCGGCCTATACAAAGTCCTGTAAATGGTGCAGGATGGTCCAACTCGATCCCTTGAACGACTGGGAAGTCCAAGAATTCCCGTCACAACTCCCGTGAGCTATGGTGAGGTCTGAAGGTTCGCATTAGACCCGCTCCCTCCCCCGGCATTAGACACTCCAGTAAGCTATTGTAGCTACTAGTACGCTACTACCTAAGACGCAGGAGAGCTCACGCTTCTTCAAGGAAGTTCCCCGGAGAGCTTCCTTGAAGAAGCGCTCGCACTATTCTTTTGGTTCCAAGATTGTTAGGGAAACTGGCGATTGTTCTACTAGCGGCCTCCGCGATGGCCTCCAACCTGGGAATGTGCAGAAGTGAAATTCGGTCATAAAGTGATACATAGTGAATTCCGTTTTTCGCTGCTCGACTCATCCTTCCTGCTCTGTGCGTATCTCTCGCACCCAGTGGCCAATTCAATCGTTGGACAAAGACTCCCCCCAAAACACGACTTGGAGCCAGCTTCACGGACTGCAAAAACCAAAAACTAGATCAAAAGATAGAAGAACAATCCAGAAAATTGTCAAAAAATTGTCAAAAATAATAGGCGGACTGTGAAAGGACCACCAGAACTCAACCAAAATGTATTTGCTTTGATGTATTTTTTTGCAGTGATTCTTGCACTGAGATCCCTGCAGCCTGACCGCTTGGACTACTGAGGTTGCGTGGTGAGGATGGTGATGCCTTCGCCAAGGCAGTGCGGAGAGTTGGAATCTGCACTAGTGACAGTTGGTACTGCTCAGCATCGGTAGCAATAGCAACAAGAGGGTTATTCACCCAGGACCAAATGCATCGAATGTGACCGAAATCTCCAGCGGGTTGAATTCCCTTCAGGACGACGTTGTAAGTTATAAGTTGCAAGTATGAGGAGGCGATGTGGTTGATGCCAGCTTTCGGGGCCACGCAGTCTGTGTTCCGAGCGGTTTCAGAGTAGCATCCTTGTTCCCGGTAGTAAGGCCAGGAGCCCCTAGTAGCGTCCTTTCTCCTAGATGGCACAACACCCTCTTGTGGATGGCTTCAAAAGATGGGGGTGCATGTAAACCACCGAACTTGGGGGTTGTCCTTTGCTCGGGATTGCACCGATCGAAAATCCACTATACATGCCCTGCTAAAACAGGGTGTGTTGCACAAAAAGACCTTTCCGGCTCTAGTCATTTGATCAAATTCTCGGGGGGGCGTGCATCCAAGGTGTGTATATATATATATATGCCTATCGTTTCTGCAATTCAGAAGTCATCGAAGCGATAGTAAAAACCAGCCGGTCAAACAAAGAACACAGCAACCGCCCTCAAAGAAACCTTGTACCACCAACACCCCACGACGCTTCTCAGAAAACCGCCTCAAGTAGCCTTACAAGACTTTGAAAAGGATTACTTCGACGTTTCAACATGTTTCAACCCTTTGCCGGCAGCGAGCATAAGTGACCACCAGCACGATGAAATATGGACCAGAAAGTCGAACTTCCAGCGGGCGGAGAATCGCAGCGCCGTACCCATTAGGCGACTGGTCTGTATTGAAGAAAGATGACAGGTATGCCAGGAGCCCCTAGTAGCTTCTTGTTCCTAGTAGTGAGGCCAGGAGCCCCCAGTAGCGTCCTTTGTTCCTATTCAAAGGTGGAGAAAACCACAAAGTTCTGAGAGATGGCCAAGAACAGCCTTGCTCACCTGCATCAAGAACAGACTCTTCCAGCCAAAGAGCTCGTCGAAAACGGATCGCAGGACTTCGAAGCCTCCAAAAAGTGGCTCGGCGAACGCCCTGGCTTTGTTTTCAAACGCGGGAAGAAAGGGTCCGAGGCTCAGCGGTGCTCAAACCCCGGCGCGGAGAGCTTCGAAAAAGGGTCGAAGGGTGAGGAGAGCCCATTCTTGGGGGCTTTGTCTTGTTCAATCCCGGCTGGTTTGAAAACAGGTGGAATCCAAGTTCCGTTTCGGAAATTGGACCAAGCAATTTGCGGCGCGGTTGGACAGTGCTGTGAGAGTTCTTTTCGTGCCAGGCTGGGCTACTACCGCGATGTGGGCCCCTTCGGCTTGATGAAGGCGTCCGGCGCATCGGTGGGTGGTTCCGTTGCATCGGATGGGTTTCGTTCTTTGGTTGTCAAAGGTACTAGTAGCTGTTTGTAGCGAACATTGTTCCTAGTAGTACGGCCAGGAGCTACTAGTGGCGTCCTTGCTCCTAGTAGCGATGCCCTTTGTTACTAGTAGCGATGCCCTTGCTAGATTCTTTATGTTGGTTTGGTTTGCTGTTTTTTGGGGTGATGGTCTGTTGATGTTTGTTGGTGTCTTTGGGGTGACTGAGAGCGAAATGGTTTTTGTGGACACATTGAGAGTGGAGGTGCTGAGACCCCACAGAAACTGTGACCCGTCAATACTCCTATGGTTTTCTTTGATGTCTTCATATGTCTTCATAGATTGCACCCCATGGGGTCAGGGGTCTCCCTGATACCCGTTTTGATTTCCAGCCTTTGAAGAAAACATGGAGAATGCCTCACTGAAAACAATACCTCAGACGACTCCAGGGCTTCCACAAACTTCCTGTCTCCTTCCCAACAGTGGTGATGCTTTGCTGTTCTGTCCTCCAACCTAGTAGCAATGGCCTCCAACCCTTTGCTGTTCTGTCCTTAGAACCGGTTTGCCAGGAGAAGCCCGGTTCGTCCGGAGACACACGCAAATCCGATTTGCCCGACTTCCGCAGAGTCAAGAAGGCGGACCAAGTGGTGGGGTCTGGTGGGAGTGGCCTGTGGCTTGCAAGCAGTCTGATGAGCAGTGTGGGTCCTGATCGGAATTTATGGTCCTGATCAGGATGTCGGGAAGAACCATTAAGAATAATTAGCTACTAGGGGCTCCTGGCATCGCTACTAGGAGCAAGAAGCAACTCTGTATCCTCTGAATGATGTCTTTTGCTTTGGATTTGTGCACCGCCAGCGGTCAGGCCAAGCGGTCGCTGGAAGACCCAGCGGGCCGCGGCCTAAGGGGATCTTCAGGAAAGCAACGAGCGATATTGAGACCCTGAAGCTATTAGGTATTAGGGTGGAGGCCACTTCTATTAGGTTGGAGGCCATCGCTATTAGGTTGGAGGTCATTGCTACTAGGGTGGAGGTGATCTCTATTAGGTTGGAGGCCATCGCTATTAGGTTGGAGGCCATTGCTACTAGGGTGGAGGCCATCTCTATTAGGTTGGAGGCCATCGCTATTAGGGTGGAGGCCATTGCTATTAGGTTGGAGGCCATTGCTACTAGGTTGGAGGCCATCTCTATTCGGTTGGA